TATAAAATATGTTAATTTTTTATATAATTATATATAAAACATTTTTTCTCAGAGAACTTCTTTTGTAAATATTGAAAACAAAGAATTAAGAAAATTAAATTATAAAATCGGCCTGTTTCTTGTCATAATAACTTCGACTTTGCACTTAATTACATCACGCATGTCATTATGAAAACTTTATGGTGAATGTCGTACATAATAAAATCAATGGCTATTTTCGTCACACTGTAATTATATTTAAAGTATTTTTATCACATTGATAGATGTTAAATACGCGTTATATCAATTAGAAACAAATAATAGCAAGACATTTGTAATTTTTCACAGTAAATTGATAAATATGAAACGACGTTGGCAAACTTACTTTACGTTTAATTGCTACACCAGACAGTATAGATATGAAAGAAAAACAAGCCATGCCAGTGCACAGTGCACCAAAGAGGTTTCTATTCGCGAGTACTGTGCAACGGAGTGAGGGTCAACAAAATCGATTGCATACTTTAGGCTTGATAAAACGTAATTAAGTGAGTACGTAAATAAACGTATAAATTATTTGTACAATACACAAAAAAAGGTTGTATATAAAATTAATAACAATATTAAGAATCTTTATTTAGAATTCGCATGTGAGAAAACACAATCAATACTAATAAGAAATTAAAATGTCTATAACGGTCGAAGCTGGATCTTCATAAATCTTCTTAAATATAATTCAATATTAAACTAGTATATAAATCATATCTATACTTGCATATATAAAAATTAATAGCAGTGTTTGACATACATATATAGTATAAAATTAATAACAATGTTTAACAAAAAAGGAACATCGGATACTATTATAATTATTTTTTACAATTTTTTGGACGCTTAATACAAATCTGATTTCTAAATTATTATATCACGTTTTTATTTTAAAAAATTTGTATTAGTTGCACAAAAACGTCTATTTTCACATATTTTTTCACATACAAACCTTTATTTTATACGAATACATTTCTTGGATTAAAGTATACTCACAATAAAAAATTTGACACCATTTATTTTATCGCAAAAATATGTTTTCGCAAAAATAATTACATAAAAACAAGTACATACTTATATTAAAAATATAAGATTTTGTTAATGTTTTAGTGAAATAATTAAAAAGATAATTAATTTGACTACACATATTAAACCAAAAATGTAAAGGTTATTTTTCTGTATAAGACAAGTTTAAAAAATAATCAGTTTTGAATAAAAAATTAATTTATTTACTATTTTATTCTACGTAATAGTTGGATTGTCAGTTGGCTCGTCACATCGAAGAACACGTTTCTTTACCATATCATCAGATACAGTCTTTAAGTCGTAAGCCAAACCGATGTAAGCGAAAAAGTCAATAAATGTTTTGGCCAAATTGAATTTATAATTTCCAAGTTCCGCCGTTTTATAATCCCAGGGAAAGGCATGATGATAGTTATGCCAGCCTTCACCACACGTCAACAAAGTAACTCCAATATTTTCAGTAGAGCTGGCTGACCTGCATAATAAAATAAATATTTGTAAGTATCAACAGAATATCAAATATATTGTAATGTATTATTGTACAATATATAAACAATTTTACTAATTTTATATTAAAGTACATATGAATGTTTGATAATTAGTACGTACTTGTCGTATGGTTTCATACCCCATATGTGAGCCACAGAATTCACCGACCAAGTGCTATTTATATTTATGCAATATCTACAGATTGCAAGATGCCATGAATACCATAAACTCTCATTCCATGCCCACCAAGGCACTAACGTTGGTATAATGAAAGCACAGAGCGGCATTAAATACCCATACCACCTAAAGAAAAAGTGTGAATATAAAATAATTAAATTACATGTCTAATCACATCTTGTTCTGCCTTCTGGCAGAAACAAATTGTGCTTGTCGTACTTTTTTTGAAATACCACAAGTGGATCTTGCATTAGGTCATTGCAATCGATCGTGGCGCCTTTAATAACGACATCAGGATGCTTGCGAATTAAAAGCCAACCGATATGCGAGAAGAAAAATCCTCTGCGCACATTATACGGATCCGCGTCTGTATCGGTGAACTTATGATGCACGCGGTGGTCCCTGGCCCATTGGTAAATACTATCCTGATAAAATGTATTACATTGATAATAGATAATATCCATCAAGTACAAAATTTTATTTAAAAAAACAAATGTATTTTCATCTTTAGTCTATTTAACCTTTACCGTACAAGGAATTGGTCGGATCACTAGTGACCGATCAATTCCTGTTCGTGCAAGTTTCGTTGAGTCTTTCAGTAATTATAAATTATACTACATTTTATTATCTTCCAAAATAAAGTTTTAATATTTATTCTAGAAAGTTGAAAGTATGCTGGTATGTTTAGAAATTTTTTTAATTATTCTATAGGTGAAAAAACGGACGGATTCTAGTAACTCATGTTTGGATGAATGAGGCAAATTGTATCGTATATTGTAAGAGTTAAATGTGTCATTCTTTGGCGAGAGGAGGAAAATTAATGCTAAATTTACTTGAAAAGCGATAGTCTGGAAAATCATGAGAATAAGTCTCATGGGCCACTTTGCCTTGTAAGATCGATGGGCCCATAATCTATGAGTGCCAGCGGTAACGCCTATCATTGCAGCAATACCAAGAGCAACAACTATGAATTATAGATATGTTATGGTTTGATAAATCTTACGAAACTTACGTAATCTAGCAAAGAAACAAATAAATATGATACATACACCATAGAATTGACCAATATTTAGCATACAAGCAAGCCATGTACATTCCGTAAATGGCAGCAAGATGAATATAGGTAAACATAATAACATTTTTCCAAACGACTTCCCATTTATAATCAGTTTTGTATGATTCTTTCATCAGTGCTTTATTATTTATTGACTTTCCGATTATTGCAGAAATTTTAGATAAGTTCGACAACATGCTATATGTTAAATATATGTTATAAATATCTTTGTAAAGTATAACTTTAATCATTAAGTAAGTAACAGTGTTATTCTGCAGTATTATATCAGAAAAGATAGTGTAATGAAAAAGATAAAATAATTACTACATAGTATACGATGAGATAATGAAGTGATAAAAAAAGATTATAACTCTAAGAAGTTATTATCTTTTTTTTTATCATTTCATTATCATAATATAGTTTACAATAATTATTTTATAATACTTCTTTATCACACTATCTTTTAAAGATAATGTGCAATTATATTGCGATATAACTATAAAATATAGGCATAAATGTGTTATGAAAATATTTATATTTTATGACGGAATATGTCAGAATTTTTAAAATCAAAGATATCTCATTTAAAAATGCATATTTTTACATCTAATTATTATGAATACTAATTTATAACATTGCATAACTTACTTTGCATATGAATACCGCTACTGCTACTTTAAAGGTTTCTCAAAAGATTGTAATGCGTTTCTTATAAGTTAAATTAAAGGATACCTTAATTAATATCTATTTTATTTAGTAATAATATAAATATCCTTATTTTACAGTATGCTTAGCAAATTGTAGTAACAATGCATCATTATACATGTATAGCTGAATTAAAATATAAACTACGAAATAATAATTGCAAAGTAATGTATATCAAGCAGAAATAAAATTACATACCTTTTGATAAGAATTATATTATAATATAATACCTCTATGTGATCAAAAATTGTTTGGTTGTTTTATTCAGATCGGGAAAATATCTCTAAATTTTTCTGAAACAAAAATAGTTAAATACAATAATTAACAAATTTTATAATAATATGAATATTATATAATTATCCCCCCAAAAATGTCACAGTTACATTACCACAATTTATATAATTAAACATTACGTAATTATATAAATTACGCAAATAATTTAAATAACATTTGCTAAAAATATTCATTTTATATATTTTTTACTTGGAAATTACATCTATTTATTTTATATATTACACACATATTGTACACATTCTAGTGTAACGCTCATAGTGGAATTAGAATTCATAATACAAGGTGGTCCAAAAGTCCGTTAACATTTGAATCGGCAGCTGTGTCGAGCAGCGAGGGAGAGGTGGGGCGGGCGAGGTTATTAAGGTACGGAATGTTAGAGCGGTCGATGGGAATTTAATGCAATGGCGTCATTCAACGAAAAACAACGTGCGTTCTGCGTACGCGAGTACTATCGAAACAACGATTTTTGACCGAAATTTTCGGTCAAAAAGTTATATCCAAAAGAGGTGACATTAACTGGCCACCTCGTAGCCCGGACTTATCCCCAATGGATTTTTTCCTTTGGGGATACCTTAAAAGTAAAGTCTTTAACAGCAATCCAGCGACTCTTGAGGAATTAAAGGCTCGTATTCGCGAGGAAATGCAAAACATTTCCCGAAACACTTGTCAGTCGGTCATTTCTGCTCCAGGTTGCAGCAGTGTCAAAATAATGAAGGATCGCATATGGACGATGTTATTTTTAAGAAATAAAATCCCAAATTGTGTACTTTCAGAATAAATAAACATTTTTTCTTACATATAACTAGTTTCTTTTTTATCATCGTATGACATGTTAACGGACTTTTGGACCAATAAAGCTTTAGACGTAAGACTTAAGCAACAAGGAAATCAACATGTTGAATTCGCTATTGCTTACGTTATGGTCTTACACGGTCTCTATTAGTCGATTCGATTACTGTTTAAGTCTTACATCTTAAATTTTATGTGTATATGGCCTTTAGACAAAATTTAAGACAGGCTTGAACATAATAACTAACTATGAATACTGGTCGTATGAACATAATACTCTTTAACTGAAACTGTCGATAAAAACCGTAACGTCAAAAATGGATTTGGTGCGTGACTTACTAATGAGAGCTGTCAAAATTGGGTGCTATTAGTCATATGAAATCTCTATGTATAATCCGATAATTATATACGAGTATGCAACTATGAGAAATCATTGTATAATATTAAATAAAATCGTATATTTTGCCAAATTACTTCATATGTAGTAAAAAAAATTATTTGTAATCAGGACAAAATCATATAAAATCATATAATCAGTGGGACAATATTTCAATTGGTAGTTACTTCCTCGATCTGTCTGTTTTATTGTTTCATTGTTACTGTACAATGGTTTTTTTTTGAGTGATTAAAACTATATAGAGTGCAAACGTGGCATGATAGGTACTGGTCTATTATGCTAGAGGGTTTGATCTCAGTAAGAACCAAAATATTTACGCTCGTTTCTCCTCTCGGAAAAGGCCGGCAACCTCCCGAAAGTCCCAAGAGTAAAGGGTACTTGGGACTTTCGGGAGGTTGCCGGCCCATAGAAACACCTCTCGAAAAATCCACCCTTTAAAATCGGCATTAAAATTGTAGGTCTCATATGCTTGTGGCAATTAAATAATCAGCGTGCGCGCCACAAGAATATGAGAAAGGTGTAACACAGGCTAGACGCCTAACATAAAAAAAAGTAGAAGAAAAGTATTATAATGTACATAAATGATCATTTTTACACATTTTTGTAAAATATGAGTAACATTTAATTACAACACCTTTTGTAAAAGTAAATAACGTATACGTTTTTATTATCATAAATAAAAATATCAATTAAAATATTTCGAATTTTATTTCTTTATTCCATGCAGCGTATTGAAATCAGCATTTACAAATGCTGTTGTTATCTTACTTCAGCGACTTACTCGCATGTCAACAGTGTGCACTCTGCGCATCATACCGGAAAATGAACACTCAAAAAAATGTATGTAATTTTACGTGGAAATTACATGCATTTTTTTCAGTAAACAAACATCCGGGACCTATTATAAAAATTATATAGATGTTGTAAAAATGTTAGCTAAACTTATAGGTAAACGTTTCAAAATGATTCTTTTACAGTAAAAAGAAACGTTTTATACTAGTTCATAAATTTTTAATTAATTGTTACATTTAATGTTTCCTATACGGACACTTATAATGTATTAAAAACGTTTACTTATAACTGTTATTCAACGTTACGGAAAAATATTTTTTTAACATTTTTTCAGCGTTTTTGTTTTACTTAGAAAGTAGCAGAGTGACATTATAATTAATGACGCCTTTATAACATTTTATTGACGTTAAAGACGTTGAGACGTTATTAAGATATTACAAAATTATATTTACACATTATACATTTATAGTACACACACATAATTTTATAAGTAATGTTTAATTTATTATAATTTTTATCATAATATTACACAATAGTTATTATTATTGACCAGTATTATATTTTTTAATTAATATTATATGAATAATAAATAAAATGCTAATTTGAGCCGACACTGGTTATTAGTGTGTATTTTAATACAATTAATTCAAAGTGAATATTAAACGTAAACATTTCAACCAACGATCAAGGTTCTCTTCAGTACAAAAGAATATATTAACAAAATTATATAATGATAGCGCATACGAATATAAATTAATAACATAAAAAACGAGAAACACATGATAGTCCGAGATAATCTTGATCATTAAATTACTAAGAACTGAAAAGGATGTAAGTTTTTTTTTACCATTTTTCGCGTATAATCTTTTGTTAGCATTTTTAAAATTATTTTTAACCTTTTGCGTCGGTCGTTTTTAAAACAAAAAATATTTTTCTTTTTAATTAACTTAGTAATTTAATCAGTATTACAAATCAAATTAACTAAGACTCCTTATAATTCAAAGAATTGGAAAGGATACAGGCAATAGGAGTCAAGCGCAAAAGACGTCGTGCAAGTAATATATCTATGAAGTGTGAAACTTCTTTATTCACTAAAACGCACTAAAGCACTTAGTTAATTTGATTTGTAATACGGATTAAATTACTAAGTTAACTAAAAAGAAAAATATTTTTTGTTTTAACAACAACCGAAAGGTTAAAAATAATTTAGTCAAATGGACAAAACGACAAAACGAAAAAGTAGCTAAAATATATACAAAAATTATTATAGAAGAAATGTTATATTACCATTGGAAGAGGGCTCTACGGACAGGTTTTCATATTTGATGTAGGCTCTATGAGACAGATCTCTAAATTACCTTTTGTAATAGGTATTCGAGTTTTCAAAATGTTGTTTCGAATAAGAATTAATGGTAACAGAATTCAACGAAAAAAAAAGAACCAAGCTTCGGCAATTTCGAAAGTATTTTTTTTTCTCGACCCAATTTCTCTTTGGAGAGTTTTCTGTACTTCACTTCACTTAATTTTTTACGAACATTATTCATTGTAATTTAATACATAAGTTATTATAAATATAAAATATTTACAATTTTATAACATAAATAAAATATAATTATAAATATAATTAGCAAATTTCCACTTACCCACAAAGTTATCAATCGTTCAATGTATTCAACGAATATATTATATTTACTATACAAAGCACGAAAATGCGTAGCCTAATAGATCGAGAATGTAAATGTAAATATAGAATATTATAAAGAATATACGAAAATAAATCGACGAAGCGATCCTGTATCACTGACTAGCGAACCGTAATGGCAATAAACATAATATAAGAACAAGGTATGCCAATACGCAGGATGTAATCACGTAACAGTCGAAACAAGTTACATCATTGGTTGAAACAAGTTATGATCATATATGATTGTTTTCCTCTTTCTGTTCACAACACTTTAAGCGCCGTTTCATCTTTGTTGTTTATTAAAGCTGCGATCGATTTGAATGCTTTCAGCGCTTTTCAATACTTCTATTCTTATTTTATATCTAATGAACGATAAAGACAAAATGATGATTACAAACGCTTAAAGTGTGAACATCCAAATCAACCGCAGCCTAAATATTAAACAAGGACAAAATCACTCGAGGCTGACGTAACTTGTTGACGGTCACGTCTTTACCCACTCTTTTCTATATCTGCGCAATGGTTACCACCGAATATTTTTGCACTTAAAATGAGATAGATACATATTTTGCCTTAAAAAGAGAGAAAGCGAAGACGTCGAGTGCCAAAAGTGCAAGCAACGCGAACAGACCTTATATCATGGCAGTAACCCAGTGAGAAATGGCAATGGAATTGACATCGAATCGAAATGAGTAAAAACTATAATAGAAGCACATTGGAGCATGACGCAAACAAACTTCTGGTGATCATTGAAAAATTTTCTCGATCGTGTAGCAAAAAATGGTTACTTTTTAGAATTTTTTTTCAAAAAATCTTTTACCGCCTCTCTAAACTTGCCACTCCTAGATTATAGTCTAAATTAGCAACGTTTCAATGTTGCAGCAACACTGCATTATTTCTTTTTTACTTAGAAACAAATTATATTGTTTATTAAATGTCTTATATATATATGATAATGATATACTCGTAAGGATTACACAGGTAAAATAATTTACTCTATGAGAAAATTATCGGCTAGACACTTTATTATCGCCTAGAACCTTATTATTGACTTAATGGTACAAATCGTGAATAATATTACGCGAACTGATCTAAGCCTGCAAACAGGCATGTTTGAGGTTGAGTTGTGAAAATATTATAGTTACAAGATTTTATTTTTATTATACAAATTATAAACATTATAAGAAGAACGATCGTATATGAATAAATCGAATAAAGTAAAGAACGCCGAACGGTCAAAGTTAGATGTTACGAATATATT